GCTTGTGTTACTGAGACAGCAGCATGGAGTGGCAGCAGCTGGAAGGTCTGAGCTCCCAGACCCAGCCGTGAGCAGGAAGTGAGCCAGGTTGCCTGCTCGCCTAACTCATAGTACACTTTAAATGCAGAGCCACAGTGGGGGAAGTCCTAGACCCAGTACAAGCCAGGACTAAGGTGGGCTGCTGGCCAGCCTGCTAAAAATGTATGGGAGAGGGGAGAATTGCATGTAGTCTATAACATTAATCAATAAGCTTTTGCTTATCAGTTAATCGGTTACTCGACTACACAGTTACATCCCTAATGTGGGGACATGGCCGCGATACAGAGAATGGAGCTTTGTATTGGAGGTGGGACCATGGTGTGGGGCAGTGTTGCCTGTAAGCTGGAGGCTTGTGCAGCCACTCAGGAGAGATTCCAATGCTGCCTTACCGATTAGCTGAGTGCCCATTGGTCGGTTTTGTGTTTCTCCTGGTGGTGCACATGCACACATGCCTCGGTGCACATAAAATTATTCCACACATGGATGGAAAAGATTAGAGGGAATGTTGGTGTGGGGTGGGGCTGTACTCTGGGGACGTGGCCAGTGGCCATGTGGTCTTTGGTCCGTGAAGTGTCGGCTGTAGGCCTCAGCAGTGCCCGTCTAACTCCCTTCTCTTCCTCCAGCGGATGTGACTCTGGACCCTGAGACAGCCCACATGTGCTTGGAGCTGTCCGCGGACCGGCGCGGTGTGCGGCTGAGGGAGCAGCAGCGGGCCGTGCCGCCCCACCCCAAGCGTTTCGACACGTACCGCTGTGTGCTGGGTGCGGCGGGGCTGGGTGCGGGCCGGCACTACTGGGAGGTGGAGGTGGAGGCGGGCGACAAGGCCTACTGGACCCTGGGCGTGGCGCGAGCCTCGCTGCGCAGGAAGGGCTGGTTCAGCCTGGAGCAGGAGGAGGGCGTCTGGGCCGTGCGCCTCCTCCGGGGCCAGTATCAAGCCCTCACCTGCCCCGAGACCAGCCTGTCGCCAAGCCGCAGCCCTGAGCTCCTGGGCGTCTTCCTGGATTGGGATAGAGGGAGCGTCACCTTCTACGAAGCCGAGGGCATGGAGCCCATCTTCTCCTTTGCCACCGGCGCCCCCTTCGCCGAGCCGCTCTACCCCTTCTTCTGGCTCATGTGTCCCGGCACCAGCCTCAGGGTTCGGCCCTCGTGGGACCCAAGGTGCGAGGGGGGGAAGCAGGCGTGACGGGCTGGGGAATGGCACAGGGGCGGGCAGCAACCCTTGCCCCATGCCCTGCCCACGATGTCCAGCGGGTGAGGGGGCTCCCTCACCTTGACAGGAGCGGGGGTGGGGTGCTGACAGCCAGCTCCCCTCTCCCCAGCTCTCAGGGACAAGGAGGGGTCACTTCCCACATGTGCATACCCCTCCCTCCACCCCCGTGCAATTGGAACAATACCCCTCCCCCAGCCACGTGCACCACCACCCTCGCACACCAGCAGATCCGCGGCAAACCCAGGCATTGTTAAGGGGCAGAGATGGCAGGGATGGGCCTAGTTGCTCAGTGGCACGGGCTTGCCCCCGGCTGGGGCGTCACTGCTCCCCGAGAGCCCTCACGCTGCTGGGTTTGGTCAGGACCGTTTTTGGAATAAACCGAATGTAACGACGAGGCGGGTGGGGAGGTGCGTGGGGAGGCATGGATGCGTGACCCCCCTGGGAAGGAAAATGGGAGCTACTCAGAGCCCTGGGCTCAGTGTCTCGGCCGCCTAACTCACAAAGACATTTGGGGTGGGGGGAGCCCGTCCTGGAGCCCCTGTATTATCTGCACTGAGGGGGCTGCACTCGGGGACTTGAGGGTCCAAAACGAGAGTCGGAAGCCATTCGGGCAGGCACCACGTCCAGGGTTGCAGGATGGACCCATCAAGAGCCCATTATTATTTATTTTGACCTTGCATCTACCCAGATCTGGGGGCTTGTGACGGGCACTGCTCAGTTGCAGGCCCTGCCTGAGTCTGTCGAGAGCCTGAGACACTTGCTGTGAGCGGGGGCGGGGAGGGGGGTGTTGCCCTGTGAAACTCCACACTGGGCACTTGCTGGGATGGTGTGATGGGCCTCCCCTTCCCCCATGCTTTATAAAATGGGCCTATGGACATTAATTTATGTAACTCAAAGGTGCTTTGAGCAAATGTTTTCGTGTAACTCATCAATCTTCAAGTCATGAGCGGCTGGTTCTGTTTATTTTACTTTGATGTGTGTATCATTTTTGCATGTAAAGTTAGACATATGGGCTGCGTCTACACTCGCATGTAAAGTTAGACATATGGGCTGTGTCTAGACTGGCCAGTTTTTCTGGAAAATCAGCCACTTTTCTGGAAAAACTTGCCAGCTGTCTACACTGGCCGCTTGAATTTCCGGAAAAGCACTGACGATCTACTATAAGAAATCAGCTGCTTTTCTGGAAAAACTATGCTGCTCCCGCTCGGGCAAAAGTCCTTTTTTCAGAAAACTGTTCCGGAAAAGGGCCAGTGTAGACAGCCCAGTAGAGTTTTCCGCAAAAAAGCCCCGATTGCGAAAATGGCGATCGGGGCTCTTTTCCGGAAAAGCGCGTCTACATTGGCCACGGACGCTTTTCCAGAAAAGGGGCTTTTCCGGAAAAGCATCCTGCCAATGTAGACGCTCTTTTTCCGGAAATACTTATAACGGAAAACTATTCTGTTTTAAGCATTTCCGGAAATTCATGCCAATGTAGACGGAGCCATCGAGTGGGTTTCAAATGTCTGAATGAGAGGAATCAAGGGTGTTACCCTCAAAGTCTCGATAAGCAACTGTTAAACAAACTCTCTCGTCCTTATATCAGCACAGCGGTTGGCAGGGAGTGGACTCAATTCTTTAAAAAAGAACAGGAAAGCAGAGGCCTGGGTCTTTTAGCTGGGCTACACCTGAAGGAAGGAGCCAAAGATCCCAGAGTGGGGAGACAGGCCTAGTTTGCAGGGGCAGCCGGAAAAGAGGTTTTAGGGTGAGTTTGAAAAGTTTGTGCTGAGGATTCAGTGGAGAATTAGCCACCCGTTTTTGTTTCTTTTGATTTGTAACCTACTTTGCTCTGCCTGTTCTCACTTATTACCACTTCAATCCTACTGCTTCTACTTCATAAAATCACTTTTACTTTCTAGCAAACCCAGAGTAAATAATTATTACCTGGGGGAGCAACCAGTGTGCACATTCCCCCTTTCATTGTTGAAGGGAGCTTACCTAATGCTTGGGGGTCTGATCCCAGCTGGGGAGTGCTATCCCAGGATGCTGCGCCCTAAACTGCACTCTCCTTGGACCTGAAGAGCTTCAGTGTTCGTACTGCTTCTGGGGGGCAGGGATCCTGGGATACCACTGGGCGGGGCAGGGATCTCAGCCTTCTGGGGGGGCAGGGAACTCAGCCCGGAGAGCGGGAAGGCAAGTGGCAGTGGCCGTGACAGCAGCCCTCAGTCTCCGTCCCTCCCATAGCTCCACTACCCTTCATCCCACATCCCCTTCCCCGTTCCTTCATCCTGCTGTGCTTTCTGCCCTGCACTCCCTCTGCCCCTCCACCGTGCGTCCTAGGCCTAGAACTCCTACCCCTCCCACCCCCACACAGCAATCCCTGGGAACAAGCCCCCACCCCCACCCCCACCACTCCAGGGAGCATGAGGCACTGTGGGAAAACCCGCCTGCCTCCTCCTGGGGCATGATGGGAGACAAGGGCTGAATTCCCTCAATTCACTGAGTGTGGTGAGGGGCTTTGGGGTCTGCATCGCCCCCTGCTGGGCGCTGGATCCTAGCGGCACTGGCGTGTGCGCTCCATGGGTCCGTGGGGTCTAAGGCAAGGAGGAAGCTCAGGTCTGGCTGTGCAGATGGTGTAAGGGCAGGATGCTCAGGGTCGCCAGTGTGCACGTGGATAAACTGGATTCTGCAGCCACGGAAGTTGGGCTCAGGCCAACGAGTGGAAGGAGAAGGGAAAAGGCCCCATGTCACACTCCCTGCCCCCCAAGCCACCCAGCCCCTGACCTGGGGAAGGCCAGAGAGAGGCCCTTAGCCCATTCCCCATGAGCCAGCCAGTCCTACCAAACTCCGCCTTCCCCACAGTGCCAGTCCTCCCCTGCAGTCCCCTCTCCCCCGACCACACGGGCGCTGCCAGGCTGGGCTGTTGTTGTTTATTTGAGTTACAGTGGGGCCTACGGGCCAAGTGCCCGCTGGGCCGGGCACTGCATGGACACAGACCCAAGAGAGAGCCCCTGCCCCCAAGAGATCACTCTCTGAAGGGAGAACATCAACCCTGGAACAGCCCAGGGGCCCATGCAACCGTGTCCCAGCTCTGACAGTGGCCAGGAGCAGTCAGTGCGGAGGGAGGAGTGTGGGGCCTGCGTTGGGCAGCTGTGGGAAGAGGTGGTTTGCTCCCGGCCTGCGGCTGTGTCAGGCTGTGAAGACAGGCCAGGCGTGACTAGCGACGATGAATAACCATGAACATTCTCCTTGCCCTCCTGGACCCTGCTGTGCAGCTCCTCTGCAGGGGTGAAGCGCCCTCTGTCCATCCGCCCCCAATCCATTCCCTGAGACGTGTTCAGGTCTTGGACTCGGATGCATCAAGCGGCAATGAGTTCCACAGGGCATGGCGAAGGGCACTTCCTTTCACTGGCTGGAAAGGGGCTGTCTTTTGGCAATGTCCTGATTGAAGTGTGGACACCAGGACTGGACGCAGGATCCAAGCACGGTCTCCCTAAAGCTGCATGCAGTGGGAACAGCCCTTCTCTGCTCTGACTTTGTATTTCCTTGCTCAGAGAGTGCAGGAAGGAGTTACCCTCTGAATCACAGTGCTGCATAATGGAATTGCCTATATCCTGTCAGGGCCTCTGCTTTCTAGGGTACCCTCCCCACTCTGCTGGTCTGGCTGGCATCCCTGGGTTCCAGAAAGATGACCTGGCATTTGGCTGTATTAAAAAGCACCTTGTTTGAATGATCATAGAATTTAAGACCAGAAGGGACCATCACGATCGTGTTGTCTGATGTCCTGCTCCTTGCGGGCCACTGAACCTCTCCTGTGACAGGTCCAGAGCCTCTGGCTGAGCTACCGACGTCCCGAAATCGGGGTTTAAAGATTTCAAGGGACTGAGTATCCACTGTTTGCACCCGTTCAAGCCGCCCAGTGAGCCGAGCCCCACGCTGCAGAGGAAGGCGAAAATCCACCAGGGTCTCTTTGTCTATCTGAGCCTGGGGGGGAAATTCCCTCCTGACCCTCAAATAGGGCACAGAGTTAGACCTGGAGCATGCGGGTGAGATCCATGAGCCAGCTCTGCTCCCAGAGCTACTCCCCAGCCCCCCACCCGCCTGTGGGCCCCCAGCAAGCTTTGCCCCAATGTCTGATACTCAGAGGGGATGCCAAGTAGACTCCACACTTGATCCTCCAGCCGGCACCCCCAGCTCCTCCCTATCCCAGTCCTCAGGGACTGTCTCTCCAGAGTTCTTCCCCAGCTTCCTGGCACCCACCCCTCTGGATCTCTGGCCCCGTGGCTGAGCCGTGGCAAGCCCCAAGCCCGGGTGAGTCCTCTGGTGCCTGAGCAGGGCTGAGCTCTGGCAGAAGCCCTTCTCTCTCCAGGTGCACCTGAAAGGCGTCACCCTAGCATGGGTCGTCAGATGGGCACTGAGAGCTGACAGCTGGGGGGAGCTTTTCCCGCACTGGCAGCAGCTGTGCGACCTCAGCAGGCCGTGAGTCCTCTGGTGCCTGGCCAGGGCAGCCTGGCACTGGAAGGCTTTCCCGCAAGCCGTGCACTGGTGGGGCATCTCCTCCCCGTGGGCACTGCTCCAGTGGCTTGGAAGCTCGGTGCTGGCCCCCAAGCCAGCTCCGCAGACAGGGCACTAGTGGGCCGGAGTGGCGTGGGCCTGCTGGTGGGCGAGGAGGTTGGCGCTGAGGCTAAAGGCCGTGTCGCACTATTCGCACTTGTAGGGCTTGTCTCCAGCATGGACCCGCTGGTGGACGAGGAAGTCTGAGTTCTGGGTGAAGGCATTGCCGCATTGGTGGCAGCGGTAGGGTTTTTCCCCGGTGTGGGTGCGCCAGTGCACCGTCAGGGTGGATCTCATGCGAAAGCACTTGCCACACACGGTGCACTGGTAGGGGCGCTCCCCGGTGTGGGTGCGCCGGTGTTTGATGAGGTGGGAGTTCTGGCAGAAGCTCTTGCCGCACTGGGGGCAGGTGTAGGGGCGCTCGCCCGTGTGGGTGCGCTGGTGCTGGATCAGGTTGGAGCTCTGGCGGAAGCCCTTGCCGCACTCGGTGCAGCGGTAGGGCCGCTCCCCGGTGTGGGTGATCTGGTGCTTGGCCAGGTAGGAGCCCAGGGCGAAGCTCTTGCCGCAGATGCTGCAGCGGTGCAGCTTCTGGCCGGCATGGGTGCGCCGGTGCTCTGCCAGGTTGGAGCTCTGGCTGAAGATCTTGCCGCACTCGGGGCACTTGTAGGGCTTCTCTGCGCCGGTGCTGGGCCAGGTGCGAGGCCCAGACAAATCTCTTCCCGCACTCCGGGCATGTCTTGCACCCAGTGCTCCCCGCCCCCCGTGTTCCATCCAGCTGGGCCTCAGCCCCACGCTGGCCCTCCGGTGCCTTCCCTGACAATGCTCCATCCTGCCACGGACTCTCCTCCTTCGCCCTGCACAGCTGCTCAGGGTCTGGGGGAAGGAAACAGGAGACAATTAACAGCTCGGAGAGGGGAATCTTGGGAGAGAGAAAAATCAGTGACTGAGATGAGGGCCCATCACGCCAGGCACTGCACAGACACACAGTGACTGAGATCGGGGCCCTGTCACGCCGCGCACTGCACAGACACACAGTGACTGAGATCGGGGCCCTGTCACGCCGCGCACTGCACAGACACACAGTGACTGAGATCGGGGCCCTGTCACGCCGCGCACTGCACAGACACACAGTGACTGAGATCGGGGCCCTGTCACGCCGCGCACTGCACAGACACACAGTGACTGAGATCGGGGCCCTGTCACGCCGCGCACTGCACAGACACACAGTGACTGAGATCGGGGCCCTGTCACGCCGCGCACTGCACAGACACACAGTGACTGAGATCGGGGCCCTGTCACGCCGCGCACTGCACAGACACACAGTGACTGAGATCGGGGCCCTGTCACGCCGCGCACTGCACAGACACACAGTGACTGAGATCGGGGCCCTGTCACGCCGCGCACTGCACAGACACACAGTGACTGAGATCGGGGCCCTGTCACGCCGCGCACTGCACAGACACACAGTGACTGAGATCGGGGCCCTGTCA